TTTGTACTTGCTGCTATACGGTTTCGAAACAATAAAATGCTCCATAGCCCATAAATCAGTTTGAATCCTTTTGCCTGAGTTCATTATTCGTCAGTAGAAGGTTATTCGAATTGTAAGGTTTGAATTCAAGGTGCTTATCAGTAAGTGTTTGGCGTATCTCTCGATAAATAAATTTATTTTGTTCAGTGTTCATAAAGTGAAAATTCTTAAATCGAAAATGAAATGATGTAAAAATTTTCGATATCCAGAAAAATCACCAAACATTTTTAATCGTATGTAAAAATATTTTAAAAGACAATAAAAACTGCCATACCGATAACCTGCCTAACTGCATTATTAAGTATTTAGTCAGTGTTTACATTCTATAACGCTTTCTGTAACCATGTACAAACATCGTTACTTCCATAAACGGAACAAAGTTGTTTTTGCTACTTCCTTCACAAATATCTGTCATAAGGAGTGGAATTGTTCTTGCTGTAACAATCACCTGTGCCCTACACTCATGATCATTACAGTAAGCACTTAGGGGAAGTGACTCAGTCTGTATTCTCTATTTCTCCACCAAGGGGGAAAGTTGATCTTTTCATGCATTGGAAATAGTGATTGCAAATTGAGAATGCATAAGCATGCAAAGTTTATCATGGCGGATCAAAGGATTGTTGTGAAAGCTTTATGCGATCGTCTGCCACTATCTAATGGTGCAGCAGATACATACAATGACTGAATTTTGTGACTGCTCAACTCAGTCCAGTGCCTAAGACTTTCGTTTCGCAATGATTTGCTACAAGAAAATTGAAGCCTGCTTGGTCAAAAATATATTACATTTTCATATCACTTCGATGGGATTATTGACGCTTGCAGTGCATGTGCTTAATCACTAGGCCAAAAGATATTGTCATTCTGTCAGTGCACAACGAAACGATTCTACAACGGTAACTGGAAAGCCTTATATGTTTTTCTTGCTGTCGTCAAGGCATTTCTTCGATAAAGCACACACGTTGTTCCTTTAAAATACTATGACGAACAACTTCTTACCGACGTTAACCATCAAGTCGCCTGACTGATGCGAATAAGCTAATTTATGCACACTCGGTTCATTGATATATCTGCAAACATATGGCTCGTTCTGATACAGCATCTAACAGTGATTTCTGGGATGACTGCTAGGCTGCTTTGGTGCAATAATTGTCTACGCCACTCTGTAATTCGACCAGTTCTTCAACTTCTTTAATACATATTACTGATTGTTCACCGTTACCATCGTCTGTTTTGTTCTGATTTATCAATAGAAGTTGCAATTATGATTGCCCCCATAATTTTATGCCACAGCAGATGTTTGCATTTTATTTTACGATGTGATTGCTGCAGGCTTTAAAAGGTGATATTTGTTGGCTATATCATTCAGGTAGTAAAATCAAAGTGAACATGCGTATATGAACAAGTGCAGGCAAATGCTTATAACCATTGTCCGCTGTCAGCAGTATAAGGGGTGATTCATAAGTAGACTTTCTCTTCCCTTGCCATTCGCAATCTTTTATTAAGCAATATACACTAACCTTCAGTCAACACTTTTGATAAGATGCAGATACTTTTGAAAAATTAGTTGGATGACAACTTTCGATTCACGCACTGTAAATTCAAAGCATTACTTCTGAATCGACTATAACCCACTGCTGTAATGAGCATTAGTTTACAGCGTATAGGAAAGGGATACACTAGTGCTTACACTTAAGCATATAAGTAACTAATTCTCGCACTGAATTCCAACAGGTCGACAAGTAACCGCAGTATCTCCAGCGATCAAAAATAGTTCAATAAATGTTTTTCTTGCGCAGATACTCACGCTCTATTGTGAACTGCGCTTTTCACGAGCTTTTGAACTACTAGTAAGTCACTTTCAGATGAGGGAGTTAAGCTTAGAATCGGAAAATTATTCAAGGCGCTAGACGAAAGCGGTTATAAACCTTCAGTCGCATTACCTGCTTGTTTTGTTGTGTTACAACCGTAAAATTTTGTCTGTTATATGTCATTCTATGATAACGGATATAGTATGACCCGATGGCGAACAAGTGTACAATAAATTGTACATGCGGTGTGTTTTCGTAACGGACGTTTAAAGTTCTGAACCACAATTTGTGACATTAGCAGTAAAGAACGAAAGAAATTAAAGCTTTAAAATAGACGTCTACATTACCATTTATGCAAAGCAAAATAGCTCGACCGCTGGTGATGCGGACGTCGATAAAGTGGAATCCGTCATGCCGTTGAAATTCTATTCTTTTCCGTAAGAGTACCTGCAAATCAGGCCGTTTCCTATGACGGCATGAATCGACTTTCAAAGCAACGGTATTCGGGCGTAGCATATGAACGGCTACATGGTGCGGCATGTGTTCTCGGGTGATGAAGTGACAATGCGGTGAGAATGGGAAACGTGTGACATTGGAGGCGACCGCGGATCGTTTGCAGTTCCGTCAAGATGAACACAGTACCGGGGGACCTTCGGGTGAAACAGCTGGAGAAGCTGTACTTGGCCGGTCCGCAATTCGGCGAGTGTTTTTCGATTGAAGCTCTGGTTGACGTGTTGATCTGTCTGTTCGACGAATGCCTCAGTTCCACGCTCAGGAAGGAAAAGAACATCGCCCAGTTCGTCGATTACGGTGAGTAGAGGTAGCTTCAACACTGAATCCTTACATGTCCGGTTGATCCCTCGATGAACGTTTCTACCCTTCTGTGTTGATAACGTGTTTCTTTTGTCAAAAACGTTATATGTTCACCGTTACTTTCGTTGAATATGGCAGTCATTGGTTTCAGTTTATAAGTAGACCACGAGTGCCATAAGTTTAAATCTGCAGAGAAAGATTCTCCTTCCGTCTTCGTTTCGCCAAGTGACAATGATCGCCTTGTCGTATCAGCGTGACGAAAAACTTACTCTACTACGACATGGAACATGGACTACTGCAGCAACTGCGTTGTTTCGTTTCCTTTTTTCTGCCACTTAAAACTGTGTACGTAGTTTCTGTTTTGAGTATTTAGCTATTCAAGAAATCCGCCGTTCTCTGAAATATGGTAGGCGCATTTTGACGAATCCTTATCGTTATTTCTCTGAGTTTCAGATCATGCCTCTCTTCGTTTGCATGTTGCTTTCCTTGTCAGAAGAAGGTAAGACTCCTCTGATACATTTGCTGCTGTAGGCGATTTTCAGAAGCATGTTTCTGTGCGTTCAAAGTTCTGCTCTAACAGAACTTGTACAAACAGTTAGTGCCTAACGATGGTATCTTCACACATCTACTCTCCGCAGTTGCATGCATGCATTGAATGAATCCTAAAGTGACCTGCGGAATCTGGTCTTGGTACAGTCCTTCGACTGTTCTCCTTGAAACTGCCTCTATTTTGAGTCTCGAGCAGATCTGTTTCTGGTCGGTTTTGCCGTCTTTTCATTTGGACCATCGGCTGCGATAAGAGAAAAGTTTTTGTCTCGTACATCGATACAGAGTGGGAATCGAAGTGAGAGATCACGGACCGCTGCCTATTCAGCCTGTCAAATTCTGTGAATGTTATCTAGTTATGAATGCCGTTTTAAAAATAGGCAAAAAATGGTTTTTTGACCGATGATGTCGTGATGGAAAGGAACATGCATAATAAAATTCATAAAAATAGTTCCTTAAGTTCTCCCCCTCCTGCGTAATGGAAGTGTACGAGAGACGGACGTCATTCCATTTTCTTAATTTTGGGATGGGAGGCACAAGAAATGCCAGTTTTCTTCATTTTTTTGCAAATCAAGACAGGTTGATGAAGGCACTTCCTTCTTGAAAGAAGTCATTTGAGGAAGATATGTACCTCAGCGAGTAGGTCGAGAAGCGCACCTACGCCCAGTTTTCGAACAGATGACCAGAGAGTCAGTCCTTCTACCCATAGATAATGATAATCCGAGAGTTGTTTTTTAAAGGAATTGAAAGAGATCCAAGGAGACTAATTAAATTTTATCTCCTGAGAATGTTGTTGATGATTTATATAGTAGATTTTGTTAGCGTCTGTGGGAAAGATCATACTTTTCCTCAGACTGAACAATTTTTCTAGACATTTCCCGGTTTAAAAACGGCAGAAACAGCTTATCCATGTTCAAATAGTAACGTGACCTGTCGAGTGATAAATGGACATTTTGACCCGTGCTTTTATTAAAGCTTCAGAGATGCTTCGTATTGGCTCTACTAACGTATTTCAGCCACATGTGACTTGTGACGTTTCCTTTAATAAGCAACACAACAGAGAATGGTTCGATGAAGGAGATGACTTTCACAATAACAATTTACAAAAGACTATCGTCTAGTAGAAGCCTCAGTCTGTTGTAGACAAATGAACAGATGCCAATAATCAGCAGTCGGTTCTCTATGAAACAGACAAAAGAGCTTGGGAAACAAAAGCAGTTTAAAATCATTGCATACATGAAAATCATTGACTTGTCACATACACGTTTAAGAGGCAAGAACAAACATGAAAATACATCGTTGAGGCAAGTTTAACTGTGACGAACAACGTGACCTTTGCCACCACCGTTTCGAACAGATCAGGCATAATCCCTCCCCCCGGTGGTAACTCGGAGTTATGGTTTAAGCTTTGCTTCCTTTCGAAGGTGATGGCAGTAACTGATGTAAATGCCGAAAAAAGCGCGCTTGGCCAGAAATATAAGAATTTTTTCAATTTTACGGTATCGACATTAAGTTCGCAGGTGCAGATGCAGACTTGAAAGCTGGAGTTCATGATCGTAAAATCTCTTTCATCGATGCATACTTGTATAGTTTAATGTCGTTTATACTTCCGACAACTTTAATCGATCTTTTGAGATTCGGAACATCCTCGCGTCTCTACCGTAATCAGCAAATGTTTGTTTTGTTTGTGCATGTGTTGCTTGTGATCATCTCCTTGAGCCGTTTATATGGGCAGAGAGTATTCGTAGCTTGACAACTCTTTTGTTATAAGGTACCGATTACTGCATCGTGAAGGAACAATTCATATCTGAAAGAATATCTGCTTCCATCTTGTTCCTTCATATTGCAAGCTGATGTCCTGGTCGACGTCGAGCGACTCCAGTTGTTCATGTGCTGGAGTAAATGGTTTATCCTCAACTAGTTTGCCTAAAAGGCCTAAGTTCCTTTGCTTTATCTCTCATTTTCTGGAGTCACGTGTATGCAAATCGTCATATGTATTACTGGCCTTAAATATCATTTTGCTCTTGATTCGTTCTGCAGTTTTTTCATTTTTTAAAACATTTCTGCTTGTTTGACGAAACGTAGATTCAGTTTCAACATGCTACAGCAAGCTATCAAGGAACTTCTGTTTAGCAAAATATGTATCGATTTTTACCAGACAAAAAATGTCGCAACAAGCGCAAAAGAAACTGCACTTTATAGGAGTACCATTAACATTATGTCGATATTCAATGCAATCAGTTTATGTGTAGCTATTTAGTCTGGTAAGTTGAAATGACAGTAAATTTTGAAGGGTTCTTAGCGATTCTTGCTTTGTTCTATTTGAGGACTGCTGACGTTCGATTAGGTTCCGTTTTCTGTTTTTCTTACGTCCATATCCTAATCGAATCCGAATCCTTCTGTTAAATTAACTGCCTACTGGACTGTGTTAATATTGACTTTAATTTATCTGAATTCCCGCTAGCACGGGTTGCTTTTAATTGAAACCGATGAAAGACATGTATTCTAACCTCCCATAGGCAAATAAAGGATGTCGAAAAATGATCACATGATTCACGAACAAGTGTTAATTGTTTTGTTTACTTTTTCATTTATTTTCTTCTGTTGTCCCTTTTCACAAATCATTCGAATGATGTGAAAAACGAAAATTGTTACGAATTCGAAACTTTGTTTTGGAAAAAAACTTGTTGATCGATAGTTTGTTTAAGAAGCGACCAGTTGCCAATTTCTGTACAGTGGACTAGTTGAAATGAATTTCGGAGACTTTCAGCGACAAATCAACAAGTACCCTCCATCTGTCTGCAATTTTTTGGCTTGTAAAACAAGACTGCTCTCTTCCGAGGGGGAGGGGGCGGTGTGCATTGGCAAATCATTCGATTTTCCACTCAGAGGTTAGGTCGAAACGAAGTTGCAGTGGAAATTTTTCTCATTATTTGCTCATTGGTTTGAGCAGGACATCAATATCGGTTGGTGCAGCCTGTCGAGTAACGGATAATGTACCGTTGACCTTCAAACGATATATGGTTCTGGAAATACGGTGTTCTGCTGTTATGCCAAATTTGTCGTGCTGCCTGATGCGGGTGTTGTTCGTTTCTACCAATCTTATACCTTACTTAAAATCAATCCCATTTCTGATCAATATGCAGATATGTTATATAAACGTAACATTTTTGTTTCGTATACATTACATAAACAAATGAAATCAGCTTTACCATTTTAATGGACACTGTTCGTCTGGTTTTTCAGCAGTTCGTATCATTAATGAAATGCAGTTTCAGTACAAATTTTAAATCGACTCATTGCAGAGGTCCTACTTCTATTTAACACCGGAAATGGCGTACTTTTCTGAAAAATCAGAGTGGTTACGACACACAAGTCCGCTTTTCTGCAGGAAACTTTTGTAGTGATATGTTTTTTTTTGCTGTAAACTCTACAATTGAATTGTCATACTGGCTAAAATTGTAATGCTGCGATATTCCTGGATCTATTTAGCGACGCGTTTGGCAAATCACCATCAGTACAAAATGGTGAGCGAATAAGAGGCGCTTCGTTAAAGATTCGTAATTGAAAATTCCAGCAATGATGTAACATTCCATTCGTTCAAACCTGTTTTCACCGAATATATGTAATCCTGTTCAGAATTGAATCCTTGATTATGTTTCCTCACATTTTCAAGTTTTGTTAACTTTTGTCATGGACTAAAGTTTACTGACGTTTTGAACCAGGTGAAGAATTTAGTTCTGAGCGTAGCGAAATCAGGTTCTTACTACATTGTTTGATCAGCTTGTTGGAAGAGGAACAGGAAAGAGTTGCAGTAAGAGAACGATGAGCGTCAAATTTCATTATTCCTTTTCGTAATCCGTTGTACGTTCGTTTGTAGAACAGCAACTTCAAGGGGTTTCTGCAAGTGAACTTCACACAGTGAATTTTCAGTATCAGACTTTGCCAGATGTCCAGTTTACAGGATTCATCTGCCATTTTTTGGTAAAGAGACTCACTTTGACTTTAAAAGATTATTTTAACCACTGATCCAAACGTTTCAGTTATGATTTATCGATTTTGTGACTGAGTAGCTCATAATCAAGGTTGTATCGAATTATCGTGATTCGAAGTTTTCTGAGCCTCGTCACTCAATCAGTTCTAAAGAGGTACTTCATTTATGCCGCTTGTATTCGTCGTCGCCTTTTACCTTTCAAAATATGTAGCTCAGGTGAACACAGGCCCGCCCCCTAAACGGGTTTGAGAATAAAGCTGGGCGTTTTTCATTTAGAATTGACCAATATCCCTTAAGGTGCAATCGTGAGACTAACGAATTAATATTTCATGCAACAAAAGGTAGTAATCACAAAATGTAGAAACAAGTACCGTTGTCAACAAAATGTAGAAAACCTCATTCTGGCAGACCTGTTAAAATTCAGTGGTGGTTAATTTGTTGACAACGGTTAGCCAGCATTTGCTT